TTTCAGAAGCGAAATACTATCACAATAAGTTGGTAAACATTAGGAAAGAGATGCTGTTGCTGCATGAGAAGACGTCAAAGTTGAAAGTGAGTTTTATTTCACTTGGTTAGTAAAATGTGGGCAAAATGCACACTGTCGGTATACCTTTTCACTCTTCAAGGTCTTGCAGATCAAAACAGAAGTCCTATATTTTCTTAAGAATCCATTCTAAATTAGTATTTTCATAAATATTGGGTATTTGAAATGTTGCCATTCATTCCAATTCAAATGACAACTTTTAATATTAAGTTTAATTGAATCTACTACCAGTGTATGCATGCATGCCTGCAATATTATAATATTAATAAGGGCAGTTCTCTGCCTTAAGCAGAATTTCTCAGTAAAATAATTCAGCACTAATTGCATATAAAGCCTATCATGGAATAAAGCTCTAATCCTGTGTATTGTTACATCCACTAATACAATGTGAAACTTATTTCTCAGGAAATATTCATAAGCTTGGACTGGGTGATTTTTGCTTATAGATGGTATCAGAGGAAACAGCTTTCTCTTATAAATTCTTAGACTTTTTAAAAGACTTTTTTTATACTGCTTCACAGCACTCCCTAAGCAGTTTACAAAGTCAGCATATTGCCCCCAACAAGCCAGTCAGGATCGAAGGAATTGAACTCTTGGCAGTCGGCAGAGTTAGCCTGCAATACTGCATTCTAAACCATTCTAAGGAAAAAGATGAAAATGAAATACTGAACTGTCAGTTGATCTAGCAAACCACGTCACGGGGAATTTTGTAGGCATTAGAATTCACCTGTAATTTTAAAAACCTATTGTTTAGAATTGAGAATGGCAGTGCGTGGACGTTGTATAGAATTTTTCTCTCGGTGAAATCAGCTCTCCTCCTCCTCCTCCTAACAGTGGACTTCGCACAGGGCTCAGAAGTATGCATAAATGCAAAATGTAAAAGAGAGAATCTAGAACAATGTTTCCGTTAAGGCTTGCAAAAGGATTTGAATCTTTTCAACCGTACAGAGTATATCGATTAGAAAATGAACATGTGTTTTAAAGATCAGGGAGAAAGGATAGAATGACATGTTGGGAAGGACTGGCTATAACCCTGAAACAGACGTACCTTTATAGAATGAAAGTAAGCTTTTTTTCAGGATCCTTTGTAATACTACATGAAGAGGAAATAAAAGCTAAGAGGCCTGCGAAAAATAATAGCAGAATAAAATGGCTGTGATATCCTCAAATATAATCCTTTGGTTTTTCTGATCCTTCCTCCTTTCAGAGAAGGGCGCTCAAACTCCAGCAAAAGCGACAGAAAGAAGAACTAGAACGAGAACAGCAACGGGAGAAGGAACTGGAAAGAGAAAAACAATTAACTGCCAAACCTGCAAAAAGGACATGAAAGCGCAACACGTTTTGGCTTGTTGTGCTCATTATATTAACCTTTTGGACTTTCAGGGGATACGATGATCCCCTCGCACTCTCCTGTTCTATTTTGCCAAGGAAAGTATTAGCGCGGTCTTCATATTTCAGCCTTACTGTTTAAGTAAGGAGCTAGGAATGGAAAGTATACCACATTAGCTACTCCTAATCACTTTTTGATTAATGCTTCGCTAATATTGCTGGGTCATATTTTTTTTTTTTTGAAGAAATAGGATACTCTATGGTAAGGTGGCCAACTGGCCACTGTAAGGCCTGTGGACTTCAACTCCCAGAACATGGTTGGCTGGGGAATTCTGGGAATTGAAGTCCACAAGTCTTAAAAGTTGCCAAGGCTGGAAGCCCCTGCTCTGTGGCATTAATTCCAACATCTTACAAGGCCTCGGTTGGTGGTGCATGTGTCCCAAACCCATGGATAACCCTTAACGGTTATCTCTACCTCATTAAATGTACTCTACACCACACTTCAGGGTAGTTATCACCAATCTGTCCGTATCCCTTTGCTGAGCGAGGGACCTTTTTAAACTTGCAGGAAACATGGGCAGAAATCCTTGTGACAACTTTCTGAGTTCAGATTCTCCAAAGATAAGACTGGTGGAATAGAATTGTCAGGATCTCATTGCTTCTACAGGATCTTGCTGGGTTAAGAATTGACGGGACAACAGAAAAAACATCCATGGGAAAATATTGGTGCAACCTTGGTCCAACACCTGCTTTCAGGATATGAACACATACTTGGGGAAATGCCGGGAAAGTTTTTGTAACTTGCACCCATCAGATCAATTCAGCTTTGAAGGAGACCTCTGGTAACAAGCAGCATTAGAATTCTGGATGTGCAGCCTCGGTATCAAACACACAGGTAGCACCACATGGAAAGAACGGTGTCAACACGGACTGCCCAGTTGAATGCTGGTGGCAGACCGCAGGCTCCCTCTTGTGTTCTCAGCAAGTTGTTGCTCCTAGGTCAATCACCACAAATATTTCTCTGTTTAAAGTCCAGGCTGTTTTAATTACTGTAATTTATGGGGGTCCATCAAGTACGATCTGTTATAGTCAGGCAACAAAATGCGTGATTAAAAAAAAGGGTCTACTTGCCTGTGGGGGGAAAAATGTGTGATTGTATCATTCTCAACCAGCAAATAGAACTGGGGTGTGTGAAGATGGATGGATGGATGGTTTCAACCTCAGAAATTTTGTGATGTATGGACTTTAACGTCCATTCATCTTAAAGCTGCTATGGTTGAGAATCCCAGGTAAAGAGACACATTGTGATAAACCTAGCGTTAAAATCTTATAATCAATTATAAATAAAATTAGACTATAAAGTTTGATTAAAATAGAAGAAAATCAGCAAAGGGTAATACAACAAAAGCCGATATGAGTTTTATGTCATCCTACACAGTTGGAATCGGGTGAAATACTCTGAAGTCTGCTACCGGTTCACTTCACTATTGGTTTGCGTGCACATGCGCGGTGTGCGCCAAATGCGCACATGCACACCGCAGGCGTTACCGCGCAGCTCTGAAAAGGATTAAGAAGCCTTTTCTGAGTCTGCAAAGGTAAGTAGTACAGCGAGGGGGGGGAACAGCTGTGCCACGCGATTTAGATTTGCTAGGAAGCAGGATTTCCTGCTTTCTAGTTAGTATAAATCGCACGGCACAGCTAATCATCGGAAATACCGCTTCACCTGAACTGGTAGCATTTATTACTACGAGTTCAGGCGAACCGGTCCGAACAGCTACTGTTGGGATCCTGGAGTTAAAAAGCATGATCCATGGACTCAAAACTCAGTTCAACTTCCCTATTTTCAGCGATGAGTCTACCCCTGCTTTGTCACAATTTTAATGGTGGATTCCCTCCACACAACCATGTTGTTGGGAAACTGAATCAACATCTTTAGAATGCTAGGCTATTCGATAAAGATACTTAAAGGAACAAGGAGGCCGCATCTGGGCTCAGAAGGTAGTTGGATGCCTTGAGACCAGTCACTGAGTTGGAAATGATCTATTTGAGAAGGTCCTGGCAAAACTATTCTAAAAATGTTGCCAAGTAATTGTGTGCACATTGTGTGAACACTTGGAACACGTATAGTGTCAAGCACCTGTAAGTATAAAAGCATTCATGGTCACAGCCAGATCTGTTCCAGCTATGTGTGTTTATATTACATCCTACTTTTCCTTGTTATCAAATGCCACAACAAAGATCTTTAAATATCTTTCCCGCTTATGAGGACATTACTGCTCAAGAGTGATATATTATCAGTCTGTAACATGCGCTCAACAGTTGCTTTCCATGAGCTTCAGGACTTTCCTCAAGCTTATCTCCGTGTCTCCCCGGAGTCAACAAACCTACTTTTGGAGTCAGACCTACAAATAGCAACTACTTTGATGCTGGGTGCAGATACTGTAAGGAGAAAAAATTGCAACTGGCTTCCTCCTGCCAGCAAGAACTTTAAGTAAAGCTGAAGGGTTTCTGAGGCAGCTTGTGAGGAATCAAAGATGAGTTGTGGAGTGCCATAGTTTTCATCATGGTAATGTTTGCCATTGTACAGTAGTTGGGAAGATGTTGGATCAGCACCAGGGAAGCCCAGGTTGAAGTCCACCTTCCACCATGAAAGGTCCTAGGGCAGTGATGCCAAACCTTTTTGGCACCGAGTGCCAAAAACTGAGCACTTCGCACGCTCCCTTTCGTCAGGGCTGCGACTAGGAAGAGGAGCTGCCCAGGGGACATGCGTGTGCTGGATAAGGTACTTCTGGTTTCCGGCGCACACATGCACGCCGGCCAGCAAGTCTTCTGGTTACTGCTGCGCACGCGCCAATCAGCTGGCTGGTGCACATGCTCACGGCAGAAAATGGAAAACCAGCTCTTCTGGTTTCCAGCACTGCCACACGCACAAAGGCCAGCTGATTGGCGCTTGCACATGCGCGCCAGAAACCTGGAAGAGGTTGCACATGCCAGGCAACATGGCTCTGCGTGCCACTTCGGGCCCACGTGCCATAGGTTTGCCATCACAGTCCTAGGGTGCCTTTAGATAAGTCACTTTTTCAGCACATACTGAGAAAGAATGGTGATTGTGCAAGAAGAACCTTATGTACACGCCCCCTTGAACTCCTGGAGCCTGGCAGCCTAGGGAATTCTGGGAGTTGAAGTCCACACATCTTAAGAGCTGCCAAGGTTGACAACTGTCCTGGAGGAAAGGCAGATTATGCATCTCTAAGCAATTTGAGGAAAAACCCCACTGAGTTAAGCGAGATTTGGACCAACATCCTTTTTGTCTCAGCAATCGGCCAGAATTTCTCCATAAGTCCAAGTTCTTAGATCTCTTCCTTGCAAGGTATAGTCAGAAAAAAAATCATGACGGCAGCCACAAGGATATGATCCATATACTACATATTATTTTTTGCATGTCACCCTTCAAAAAATGCAGAGGTTTAACTGAAGTCTTGACTGTTTTATTGATCTCTTGACCCCAAGACGACCACTTAATTCCTTCCATCAAATTAAACAGAGCTAAGCTTCTTTATTTATTCAATTCGTCACCTTTCACAAAGCCAAGCTCTCTCTCCCAGATAATTTAAATTCTAAACCCAGGCTTCCATTGTTAAAGAGAAGTTGTATTCTAACAGAGAGGACTGTACCAATAAAGCACTGATGATATTAGTAGTCTGGGTAATGAAACATCTTCAAGAAAACACTCAAACTCAGAGAGCACCAAGGAGCCCTCAGAACAGGACTGGGGATGATGGCCAGCACATCTGGAAGGCTCTGAATTGGGGGAAGAAGAACCTACCCAGAAAGATGTTCCTGAACCCCCTTTCCTCCAGCCTCTGGGTGGACTACAATCCCCCCCATCCCCAGCCAATGCTACTCCTAGGAACCCCAAGCGCTCCAGACTATCGGCAGCCGGATTACAGCACAGCCTTTGGGTGAAAGCACTTAACCAGGTATGACGGGAGATTCTCCGTCACATCCAGGTCATGGTTGTCCCAAAGATGCTTTTTCAAGATGAAACTGGACTTTTTTTTTCTTTGAAGACTTTTTTTTTTTTTTTTTTTTTGCTTTAATTTATATGCCACCTTTCTCCGGAGACTCAGGGCGGCTTACAATGCATTAAGCAATAGCCTTCATACTTTTGTATATTTATACAAACTCAGCTTATTGCCCCCACAATCTGGGTCCTCATTTTACCTACCTTTGAAAGGATGGAAGGCTGAGTCAACCTTGAGCCTGGTGAGATTTGAACTTGCAGTAATTGCAAGCAGCAGATGTTAATAACAGTGCTTTAGTCCACTGTACTACAGGCTCTTCCCAAGAGCCTGTAGTACAGTGTTTGGCTTCTCATCCAAGAAGCTTCCTCGTTTTTTTTTTTTCTTTGAAGATATTTCACTTCTCATCCAAGAAGCTGAAGAAGCTTCTTGGATGAGAAACGAAACGTCTTCAAAGAAAGGGAAAAAAAACCAGAAAGTCCAGTTTCATCTTGAAAAAGCACTGTAAAGTCCCAAAATACACTTGAGTCACCAGAATGCCAAAGAGAGAGACTCAAGACGAGGCTTGCAAAAAAACAGATTTTATTGATGGCCAAAAACAAAATACTGGGTGGAACTATATCCAGAACATACAGATACAATGCATGCGAGGAGATAGCTACACCTTGGGGAAGGTATGGCGTCCTTTTATACCCTCAGACACCTCAGTTTAGCACCCAATTCTGGCCTCCTAATTTAGGTTTGTGTATTCCTTGTTGCCCTGCAAGGAGGAATAGAAACTTCCCCAATTAGTATTATCTTAAGCATTTTTTTGTTTACTCAATTGGCCACTTAGCCCCCTGGCTCTGGAAGACAGGAGTTTATCCAGATCAAACATAAATTAGGCTGAGGTGTAAATTATCCCTTTGTTGATGGCTGTAGTTTCAACTGAGATACATACCATGCTTTTACATGGCACAAGAAAAAACAGGAAGAAGATTGATATGGGTTCAGGTCAAATGGCAGGGACATATGTTTGACAAATACCAGATACATTACAGAGGTTTAATAACAGAATATGCGTTACAGGAGATACAAATATAAAGGCAGAATATATGTGATACAAATACAAAGGCATATATGTATTACAGGAACCTAATGGTTACAGAATCTAGTATACCCAGTATATCATATTCTAGTATTATTTATTATATCCTTATTATTGTTTCCCTTCAGCACCTTTGGGATTTCATACAGTAAGCCACCTGACCTCGCAGGTAAGAAACAAAAGGTGCAGAGGGTTCAAACAGCTGATTTCCTAAAAACTCCCCCCTCCCCAAGACCTGCGGCCCCCCCTCCCCTCCCCAAGGTTTAAAGCCAGCCGCAAATGCGCGGTGCGATTACAACCGAGCCCTTTGCAAAACTTGGCCTGAAAAAAAAAGAGAGCCGGTGCGCTCTGCACGCGCTCAGGAACCCCACGGCTTGCGCGCTCCGAGCCTGACCTCCCATGGCTCCCTTCCTGCTCCGCGGCTCCTCCCTGACCGGAGGCAGCGGCTGAAAAAGAGCCGCTTTTATTTGTCTCCAGAGGCGGCGGGTCGGACTGGGGGCGTAGCGGGTTCTTGCGCAACGGGCAGCGGGCTTGGGCGCAGCGCAACAGGCGGGCGCAGCGGTTTCGGAGAAGCGAGCGGCGCTGGGCGGCTCTTCCTGGGCAGGTGAGTGTGAGTAACCTTCGTTGAGGAGGAGGAAGGAGAGGAGGAGGAAGAAGAGGAGGAGGAGGAAGAGGAGGAGAAGGGGGTTCAGATGCAGAGGTCCTTCCCCGCACCCCGAACTTTCTTTTTTTTTTGGAACTGCCTGAGATTGGGTTCCCATCATCCTGGGCAGGTGGTATCCAAGCAGCTGGAGCAGCCTCGGGAACTCCCTGTCAAAAACTTCCGCGAGTTCCGCCTTCATTGCAGAAAAGGCTTGCGCGATTTGAAGCCGATTAAGACTCGAATCTGAGCCAGGGATCTTAGTTTGTTCTCTGGCTGTCAGTTGCAAAGCTTCATTTCCTGTCCCTGCAGCCTGTGGGGTGGGGGGACTAACCTCTGGGTTACAGCAGTTAAGGAATCTGGGTTTATTTTCCCTAAGAAAATGTATGGAAAAGCA